GGCGGACCATGCTGCCTCCTCTCACATTTCACTTTATTCAAGGAATTCTGCTTTTTCTGGTCTCATACCAAAGCATTTGAGTAAAACCTAGAATCTCACCCATTCTCACTAGTGTTATCCCAGGCATCTGTGGCTCCATTAGATATCAACAGGTTGCAAAATGCCTGTGGAGAACTTGTTTGAGGTTTGGGATCTTAATGCTTCCTGCACACGTTCCTAAATTTACCACTCTCTTCTCTGCACTGCTCCTCCCCACCCATCCCCTTCATGCCACATAGTCTCAGAGTGTCTTCATAAAACAGAAGTCCTAACACGAGTGATATCAAGGCTGGCCCTCGATTCACGTGTGAGGCCTGCAGGCTCTGGCTATAAACTCTCAGCCTCCTGTAGCCTTTCTCGTGCCTCCCATGATACCCTGTTCTCAAGTTCTTCATTTACAGTGACCAAAAATGAGCCGTAATAGCTTGAGGTGTGACTTCTTCTAATGGCTTTACATTTTGAAGCAACCAAAGCTTTAGTTAAGCCAGAGGACCGAATCTCTAGTGTGTAGAAGGTCTGGGCCACAGTCCTAGCTAGCTCTGTGGCTGACCCGCTGTTAGCTCTCAGGCAGGTGGCTTCACCTTTCTGGAGCTAGTTTCTTCATCTGTAAATGAGAAGGCTAATTGAATAAGATCCGAGGCTCCTTCCAGGGCCAACATGTCTTTGATAACTTGGCCGTTGGGCATGGGACCATGTCTATGTGAAGACCTGTTCTCCTGTGTCAATGGAGACAGGCAGACCCTGTAGGCAGCACGTGAGGGAAACCGTGAAATCAAGTGCGGGCTCTACCATGTCCCATCTATGACTTTGGGCAAGTCACACATTCTCACAGTGTCTATGTCCATTCTTCTTGACTCTATCAGTATTCCCACACCCAGGGTGTTCTGTGAATAATGAATGAAAGTGTTTGACCTTGAACTGCACATGGAAGTGATGACAGTAGTTCCGGTGGCACCTGGGCACCCGCACGGAGTAACTGAGAGTCTTCTGTCATTTCAGTAGTGCTGAGGGTGGGACAGACTGGTTTTGTACATGCTGTCCACCTTACTTAGGCCGTGGCTCTGTGCTCCCACTCCTAGTTTTCTGTCTGCTATTGCTCCGTCCCTGCTCCTCCTTCCCACATTCCAGTATTCAAGTGTCATCACAGATCATCCATGTGAATAGCATGTTACTGTTTGGTCAGAAGATAAGCCTCTCTACATTTGGCAGCTTAGCCCATCCCCACCCTGTTCTATCTCACCACACAACACATGCACACATGTATGCACACACACGCTTTTTTAGCCCCTCACATCAGCTTTTTGCTAACAGCTAATGAAAATAGTCGATTCTTGCTGAGGTACCTGACTTTCCACCTGATCGCCCATTCTCCCCACCTCCCCAGTGAGGCCACAGACATGTGACATAGGGTATGAGAGGAGACCGAGAACTGGGGATACAGAGATTAATAACATACCTTCCCTGCCTTCAGTCACATTGTAAGGGCTGCAAGAGAAGAGAGTGCAGAGGGCTCCAGAAGTTTCCTGATGTGGCAGGGAGGACAGGGAAAGGCTTAGAAGAGATGATACTTGAGTGACCAATACAGAAGGATGGTGGGAGGTATCTCCCATTTTACAGTTGAGGTAATGACAGAAGTTAAAGGAACAGCCTCACGGTAACAACCAGTCACTGGAGTGGCTAGAATTCACACTCTGAATGTGGCTAGCCTAAGGTTTTGCACCTGGATAAACTGCTGTATGAAAGATAAGCAAGTAATTTGGGGTCATTGCTTTTTATCCGTTGCTTCATAAGATTGCAAATATATGAGTGCTGAAAGTGAAAGAAGCAAATAATTACTTTTCTGTATGTGAAAGAGGCTCTTTTGGGAATAAAACAAAAGCTAGTGTTCAGAATAATCAAAACTTGGACTTTTTGGGGAAACATCTTCTTTTTGCCAGTATGCTAAAAATTGTCAGATATTTTTAACATCTTGTCTGCTAATAGAATGTTATGCACGATGCAAGATTAATGCTGATGTGATTACACTGGTATACTTAGTTAGTACCCTGGGGTTTTTTTCCCTGCTGTTGAAACTTGTTTTTTTTTCCTTCCTTCCTTTCTTCAATATAAATCAGGTGTAAATGAGCAATGTAGCATATTGTCATTTAATTCAAAGATAACCTGCATGCCTTATACTCCAAAGATGGTAAATTGGTCTCACATATAAAAATATCTTTTTCGGCAGTATATTAAGTGGAAGAAAGCAAATTACCTTGCCAAGACACTAAAATCCATTATTTTGTTTCATCTGTGTAGTTAAAGATCACCTTAAATTACAGATCACCTAAATTTCAGTTTCAGTCACTCAACGAATATCAATTTCATCTTTACTTGATTCCTGACAGCCTGGAAGAATGCAGATTCATTAAAACGTTATATACACATACTTGAACTTTAAGTCACTTTTTTTTCTCAAACATTTTAATTTTAGTTTTATCTTAATGGCATGGTATTTCTGTGATAGAAAAAAAAAATGTCAACAGGCTTTAACTGGGCAAGTTATAGAATTTATGTGGCCTTAACCTCCTTGCAAGTAGAAGGAGGTTTGAGACCTTAATTCCCTTCTTTCTGTAAGATTCTACGACTCATTATTTTGTTTCAAGTGAATGCTCTACCATTAATAAGTTGAAGGTAAATAGAGATTTATTGATGGATCAAGGCTGAAAGAATCATGAAGGAATCTTCATGTGTGCACTTATCACACATTAAGTTATTAGGTGTGACAAATCTGATGGCTTCTTACGTCCTTTTGTTTCTTAGCCAAATGACATCAAAAGTAATCCATCTGCAGGTGTACGTGAATTTCATGAGATTTGACCATAGAATGATAAGAGAGCCAGCCTGTCACACACTCTCCGTTGGCAGACAATAAGTGATGGTTGAAGTTAATTTAGGCATATTTTGATTCACTTGCTGAGTTATAAACCATTTCTAAATGCAAGTCCAAAAAAAATGTTCACAACTAAGGAAGGGGTATGAACGTATACTTATATGGATATGTTTATGGCAGCTTTATTTTTAATAGCTAAAAACTATTAGAAACAACCAAATGTCTTATCAACTGGTGAATGATTGAATAAAATGTGGTACGTTCGTACAGTGGAACACTCCTACCACATAAGACAGAACAAATTACCGATACATGCCACACCGGGGAGAAGTCTCAGAAGCATTATGCTAAATCAAGGACATCAGACCGAAGAGACGACATACTGCATGGTTCCATTTATAGGAAATTCTAGAAAAGGCAAAGCTGTAGGGACAGAAAGCAGTTCAGTTGTTGCCAGGGCCTGTGGGTAAAAGGAAGGCACTGACCAGAATAAGGCACAAGGGTATTTTGGGGGGTGACGAAAATGTTTTACATCATTTCAGTGGTGCTTACATGAGTGTGTACATTTGTCAAAACTCAGCAAATTGTGCCCTTGAAATTGTTGACTTTTATTCAGTGTAAATTATACCTCAAAAATTTTTTCTTTTTCAAGTTTTAAATTCCAGTTAGTAAGCATACAGTGTAATATTAATTTCAGGTGTAGAATTTAGGGATTCATCGCTTATGTACAACACCCAGTGCTCATCACAACAAGTGCCCTCCTTAATACCCATCACCCTTTTAACCCATCCCCCTCCAACCTCCCCTCCAGCAACCCTGAGTTTGTTCCTATGGTTAAGAGTCTGTTTTATGGTTTGCCTCTCTCTCTCTCTCTCTCTCTCT